TCACACAACAAAACAATGGAGTCCAAAGCAAAGTGCTGACATGAGTCCAGGCGTGCCTGCCCCCCGGCCCCTGGCACCCGCGGGTGTATATATACCCCCATACACACCATCTCTGCAGACCATTCAGTGGAACACTGCGACACACAGCTCACCAGTTTGGGTAGGTCAAACTAGTTGAAGTAGTTGACAAAACAGTCTCCCAATCTATAGACATGATGTAGTATGGGCCTCTAATTCGATATATCAACTAACACCAGGGAATCGTAATTGCTCAGAGTGAAGACAGAGTGGCTGTTTATTGCCTTTACTGGAAGTAAGAGATTTTATAGGCATTCATAGGCTTATACTGTTGAATCTTGTAAACAGTGAAGTACCAGCCTCAGAGGAAGCTAAAACCCCACCCAGAGCAGCAAACAGAATAAAGAATAAGTGGTTATTTAGATACTTGAGAGTAAAATGGTGTTTAACTAATACAGGTTTGTTTTTAGTGAATTGTCCGTCCCCACCCTGACTGCCTGTGTATTTCCCCTCAGGTACTCCTGAAATAAAGAAGACAAAATGGCTCAGACAAACCCAATTCCCATGGGCCCTTGGAAGGTAAGCATATGACGTACATGCGTAACTCTACATTACCCATGAGCACAGGGAGCTGCAAGAGGTTTCAGTGGCGTTGAAGTATTTCAATTGTTATGTTTATGGACTGACTTAAGAAACATTACACTGTGAATGTGTAATCTTCCGTTTCATTCTTTTACAGATCACTGTGTACGATCAGGAGTACTTCCAGGGCAAGCGTATGGAGTTCACCGCCAGCTGCCAGAACATCATGGAGTGTGGGATGGAGAACATCCGCTCCCTGAAGGTTGAGTGTGGCGCGTATGTATCCAGACAGCTTTTCCTTACTTTTAGAAATACAAGCCTTCTTTTGATTTTTGGGGAGCTTAAAGAGTGCACTTATTTTAGATTTCCTTGGTTTCTGACTTTATGAACTCCACTTCCTGCTTGCAGCTGGGTGGGCTACGAGCACTCCAGCTTCTGCGGCCAGCAGTTCGTCCTGGAGAAGGGAGACTACCCTCGCTTTGAGGCCTACAGCGGCAGCAACTCCTACCGCATTGAGAGGATGATCTCCTTCAGGCCCATCTGCTGCGCTGTAGGTCTAATATACAATAACCTTAGCTCACTTCTGGCTGAGCTTCACCTTAAGTTGTGTTAAGCCTCCTTTTTCCTCCTTTGTACAGAACCACAAGGACTCCCGCATGACCATCTTCGAGAATGAGAACATGAATGGTCGTCAGTTCGAGCTGTGTGACGACTACCCCTCCCTGCAGGCCATGGGCTGGATGAACAATGAGGTTGGATCCATGCAGATCCAGAGTGGAGCGTAAGTCCATTGACATGACACACTTACACACTTTCAGCTAGTCCTGAGCAACAGCTACAAACACATACTGAGGGAAAATACTGCACAAGAATCCGCTTGGAGAACCATCAGCTACTTACATCACTATTTCTATCTATGATTATTGAAGTGTTTCTGTGAAGTTTAATCAGGATGCTCTTGTTTATTTCTTCAGCTTCGTGTGCTACCAGTTCCCTGGCTACCGCGGCCACCAGTACATCATGGAGTCCGACTGTCGCGGAGGAGAGTACAAGTGTTACCGTGAGTTTGGCTCCCACTCCCAGACTCCCCAGATTCAGTCCATCAGGAGGATCCAGCACTGAGAAGGGAGTGTTTCCTTTTCACCTCCTTAACTCCTCTCCCCCTCCTTCTCCTTTCCCTCCTCCTGCACTTCCAACCCTCCTTCTGTTCTTCCACTCCCCCAACTTCCATCTCCCTGGCTCCACCGGTCCGACTAGTCAAAGCAGGATCCCGAGCTGGTCTTCAGGTGCTTACTGACGTCAGTTGTTCACACTTTTTGTTTTTTAAAGAAACATCGCAAAAGAAAGGAAAAAAGATGTCAGAAAGACAGAAAATAGGAACGACAGAGAGAAGCTTGAAACAGTGTGAGAGAGAGGCCTCATCTGCCGAGGTTGGCTGCAGAACGGTGAAAACACCTAAAAGTTTTTGCTCTATTGCATCTCTAACACTGATGGCATCATCATGATCATCGTCATTGTCTTCTACATCAACACAAGAACCAGTGATACCTGTGATATCCATGACTGCCTATGTTCAAGATGATGAATAAAAAGAATGAGCAAAGAAACAGAGATTTGCAATACTGACATGTACCTCAATCACATCTGTGCCTTGTCCTTGTCTCTGGTCAGCAGCAAACAGCTTAAATTATAATAATCAACATGAGAAATGTGAACAAAAAGTCAAAGTATGGATGGGAATTAAATACACACAGAAACTGCATTTAGGTTTGACCTGAGCTCTTACACATTATGTGTGCTGAGTATTAAATCACCTAAACTCAGTTTAGAACACAAATGATGAGAGTTTAAACTAAAACAGATTACAATGAGTCCTGTTGTGAGCCATGTTTGTGGGCAATATGGGAAATGTAAAGTATATATATATATATACACACACACAGACACATACATACACATCAATACCTCAATATATACAAGTCTCACAATCCTACCTACTAAGGGTAAAGATCCAGAAAAAGCCTCTATGGTTATTCTTTACAAAACGCCTGAGCAGGCACAGCCTCATAAAGGGCAGACTGACTGAAAACTGAATTAAGAGCAGTATGTAACAGGATGTATTAGACCGTCAGAATAATGTTAGTATCTTCTAAGATTTCAGTTTTTATCTGTTTATATATCTTCCTATTTTCCAAAACTAATTCACTTTAGCTGAAAATTTTTGATGGACAAATGCTGTGATGACCTTTTAATAACAGACCTACCAGTAGTGCTTAATACCAATACCATGGAACTATTAGTTTGTTAGGGTTACTTTATGTATTATGATTTTACATAGAAAACATCTGATCAATTTACATGCTGCAAACCACACATTAGAGCTGTAACAATTAGTTGATTAATTGACCAAAAATGGCAAGCATTTGGTTTCAGCTTCTCAAATGTGAGTATTTAATACTTTTATGTGTAAAACATGATAGTAGATTTAATATCTTTGAGCCCTGGGCTGTCATTAGGACACAACAATACATTTGAAGTTGTATGAAATTATAATTTTATAGATTTTTTATAGATTTTATAGATTTTATAATTTTATATTTTATAGAAGAAACAAACTAATCAAGAAAACAATTGACTGACTAATCAAAAATGAAAATAAGGATTAGTTGCAGCTGTACTCTGGGCCGCCTGAGGATGTTTTAAGTTGGGGCTGCTGTAGTGGGAGGAGGATTATACCCCAACCCATACAATATAACCCATACAAATACAACATATGCCTACAACTACTACTTTTTCAACAAAGTTATATCAGTGTGATAAGTAATTGACAACTGATTATTAAACTGCTCGGGGGCAGCTTGAACCAAATAACTTACCTTGAGCTGCAGGTGCTCCAGTAGTTTTAATAATCCAAATGTTGCCTTGCGCTGACGTGTTTTGGAAATTGTGTGTCTCTCAAAAGGGCATGGATGTCCAATAAATTCAAACTTTCAGGGTGGACATGCATCAAGAAGAGGTGAGTTTGTCTCTTCTGAGTCTTGGTAGTAAGTAGCCATGTTTTCAGGCCAGGTAGGGCACCTAATCAGCCGGTTTCCCTCTGCTGCATTTTTTAACGCAAGCAAAACACACAACCTGACCACACTCTGCCACATAATGAAGCCACTTCCATTTAGCAAACCAAGTTGGTGTAAATGCACGGCTGAAAGTTTCTTTCCCAAAAAACGCTGGCCGGAAAATTGAAGTTGGGTGGCTGGAAAGGCTCCTCAAATGCCGCCAGGTCACTCCTCGCTTAACACCTGTTACCAGCACGCTCCTCGGTTGTGGCAGCGCTCGGATACTCCGGTGCCGTCGGCGGAAGTCCCCGTCTCCAAGAAAAATTAAAACCAACCAAAAGCGATATAGAGCTGGTGGAGCTGCTCTCCTAGGAAGGCTGGACCTCATCTGTGCTCTCTTTAGCTCGTGGTTAGCCAAAAAAAAACTGCAATACGTTTTTCTTCAATCATGATTTTATCCTTCGATTAGCACACCTGAGGTAAGTGTAGACAAAGTAGCAAGCTGTGTGCAGCTCAGGAAAATGTGTTGTTAGAAACAGTCCAGTACCAGTCCAGTTGCGGAACTATGTGTGTAGCCAAATGAATGATGAAATCCATATAAATATACTACTATACTATAAAAAAAAAAAAACTATGCTCTCGCCAGGTGCTGCAGCATCTGCAACACCCCTACTTCCTGCAGCCCTTGCTGTAATGTCCATAAAGAAGGCTTAGTTAAGTGACCTCCAACCAAGCTCAACCAACCACAACATTAAAATGCTGCTTTCACAGTAATGCACCAGTATTCAAATTCAAAAAGTACCGATACAACAATATAACAATACTCCATTAGAAGTAAAAGTTCTGCATTCAAAATCCTACTTTTTTAGTAAAGGTGAAGAAGTATTATCAGTAAAATAGTCAAACTATCAAAACTAAAAGTAGTAGTGTTTTCATTATGTCCCCTGTGACTATTAAATTATACATGACTTATAGAATAGGAGGCTTTTTAATAAATCAAAGCCTACCATTTCATGGTCCCATGAAATGGTAGGCTACAGCTGTATGCTGTAACAAATTTCATTGCTGCTGTAACAGGGGGCATTTCTCTGCATTGAGCAGTCTACTTTTCCTTTTGATAAATGATTAAATGTATTTTCCTAATATAGCCTACTTACATACTTTTATTTTAGTAAGAGTTTAACTTGTGAGCACTTTTACAGCGCAGTATTAGTGCTTCTAGTTAAGCAAAGGTCTATACATCTCTGATTTAGTACAGTAAGTGGTACTTCCGGGCGGGAAACACTAGAGGCCGCTGTGATTTTAAATCAGGATTTGCGACAGTTCTTTCTTCTTGACGGCTGATGATGACAAGTCAACAACAAACATGGCAACCAGCAGCAACTATTGGGAAGGTAAGTTATACAGTATCTAATTTAAAAACAATTGTCTGCATTTACATGATTTATTGTTCTTCGTAGATTCAGGTCAAACACATTCACATTGTTCCTTAATATGTAACGTTAAATAAACTTTATGTCGGCGGGAAGGAGATATCTTTAGCCGGTTCCGAGCTAACCTGTTAGCTTGTTGGTCGTTAATGTCGAACTTAAAAAGTTGTCATCTGTACGGAAGGACTAAGAGAAAATGGGCCTCTGAGCACCGACAGGTAAAAGATCCCCCACCCCTCCTTTATCGGACCCCCGCAGACTGAAAGGGAAACGGCCGCATTGTTTGTAGCCGTTTCAAGTCTCTTTCTGGTTGTTTTGAGTGTCTTTATGTACACGTTGAGGCTTTACGGCAGTAAAATAAGATAGGATGTACATGTTGAGTTTTTTTGTGGATGTTTTGTGTCTGTGCTTGTTTTGTGTCACTTTGTGGTCTCTGTTTTTTTATGTATCTTTGCAGTTGTTTTACATCTTTTTCGCGTATCCTTTTGACTTTACAAATTGTGATGCTTTATGAGAGTTTATTTTACATGAAATGTCTTGATAAAACTAGAAATATGTATATAATATAAAATATATGTATATGCTGGTTAAAAACTTTGAACGGCTGTTTAATTTCAACGCGTTAAGATTTCTAACTTTGTTCCATAGCTTGAAAAAGAAGACAGGATGAATTATTTAATCAGTATTTCTTTAGTCTATATACTACTATATATGTTTTTTTGTCAGTGAGCTATGAATTGAATTTTGTTGTAAACAGAGTTGGTATGAAGATTTGATTTTTTATTAATTCATTCAGTAATTCCCACATAGTACTCATATGTGCTGACTTAATTGTAGCTGCCAAAATTTAAAACAAATCAACACTGTTATTGGAAAGTGAAAGTCTCCTCTGGATACAGAGTTGCCATTTGAAGCCATATCTGAGCCAGATCAGTCTCCTGTGTGGCTTCTGCTTGATGTGACTTTTTAGCTGCATCTTTGCGATGCATTCAGTCTTGTTTGCTTCTTATTGCCTGTTTTTTGTGATTTGTTTTCCAGATGTAAGTCATGAGTTTCTTTTGGTCAGATATGTAAAGCCTGTTTCCATATTGAGATGTTTGTCTCTGTTTCTGCACTCAGATCTGCGTAAACAGGCCAGACAGCTGGAGAATGAGCTGGACCTCAAGCTGGTCTCTTTCAGTAAGCTCTGCACCAGCTACAGCAGCAGCAGCAACTGGGACCAGCAGAAAAGAGACATCAGGTCAACAGCACACTTCTCACTTCACTTTAACAGTGTAGCTGTACTATGAGCTTTGGATGTACAGTTTAAATATCTGTATGAACTCATCTGGCTCAAATGAAATCTGCTGAGATTTTCAAAATGTATTTGTGTTTTCAGAGTCTGTGGAAAATGAGTACATTTCTGAATACTGTAAACACATGTTTTTGTATTTAACACATCATTATTATTATCATATTATATCAATATATATCATATTATTATTATTTCCACTGATTGTGCACAATGTATGAGTAATATGATATTTTGTGGTTTTTTTGCAATATAATTTGTGGACATTAACCGGTTTGTTTACTATTTTGAGCACCGACAGCTCCGATACCAAATTAGGAATTGGTGTTGAAAACCTTGTTGTGCTGCTTTCGTCTGTACAGTAATATTTTGTCTGTCATTCAACTGTATTTCTTCTAGTTGGAATGTAAAGTATAGAATATAAACTTGAACTTAAATTTTAGCATCATTTCCCTTTCATCAGGTCTGATTCTGGCTCAACTCAAGACAATGTGCTCATTGCCATGACTACTGAGCTGGAGCAGCTCTTGGCCAATGTAAGTCACATATCACACAGTCACTACCAGCCATAGTTGAAGGGGCTTTAGCGAAACCTCAAGGTGATGGTGTTTATACCAAAAATATCAAAGGTAATTTAAATGAGAGTGTTCTCCAATGGAAACAATTGAGCAGCTAACCAAAACAGATGTGTCATCCTGGGTTTTTATCTGCCGAGATATCTACTGTTTATTTTACTGGTTGTACAGTCTATTACAATTGCAGTTTATACTTATTGCAATACATTCATGCTTACTTTGAAATCTGCTTTACTGTAGTCAGATATTCAAATCTTGTCAAATCATTCAAATGAATTTAATCTTTGTTTTTTGTTGTTTTTTTTCAGCTTACAGCAGTTAATGACAAAATGGCAGAATACACAAACACCCCGGGAGTATCATCACATAACGCTGCGTTGATGCACACCCTACAGAGGCACAGAGATATTTTACAGGTACATACAATTACTTCACTTTCTTACTTTCTTATGATGAAAAGTTTTTTAGCTCCAAAAAAGTGATTGTCAGCATTTTCTTTTGTTAATTCCCCTTTCTGTCCTTCAGTCTTGCTGACTGTAGTTTATAATGTTGTACCCTGCAGGACTACACCCATGAGTTTCACAAAACCAAAAGCAACTTCTTCAGCCTGCGAGAGCGAGAGGACCTGCTGGGCTCTGTTCACAGAGACATTGAGTAAGCACCTTTATGCATCTACATATAATAAAAGAAATTGTATGTTGTTAGCAAATATTACGTAATCCCCACGTTCTTTTCCATTCAGCACGACATTGTGGTTTGCTTGTCTTGAGCAGAACATCTGTTTAAACTTGTGTCATCAATAGGAGCATTTTACACTGAAAAATGTAAAACAAAATGTTTATTTAATCAGTATTAATAGGTTTATAAAGCAGTTTAACTATTTTTCATCTCAGCTGTCACTGGCAAGAGTCTGATATTGACTTTGTGATTTACGTCAGGACTGGGGTGACAACTTATACTTATTTATTAATAACTCTTATTGATTCATCTGCAGATTTTTATCATCAATTAATCAAGTAAACATTTGGGTCTATAAAAAAAGAGTGAGGTACATCAAATAGAGTTTCCCAGAGTCCAAGGTGTCGTCTTCACATCTAAATATTTAGGAAGAAGTATCGTAATGCAACTCTGATGGTAAAACAGCAAATCTACTGTAATTCTCATAGTCAGTGAAACAGGATGCCAAGTGCAGAAGTAGAGGTTCAGTCATCATTGATTTTCAGTAACTTATCAACTGATCATCTCTGTTCTAGATGCATGTGGTAGTTTAAATGATATATTGTAATTGGAAAAGCTCTGGCAAATATGGTTCAGACTGTTCTAGATACTTATATGCTACTAGTTTACATATTTTTTTATCTATTAGGGAGCACTCTTAAGTCATTCTACTGATTTTGACTATTTCTTTGTTTAAATCCTCTCTCTCACTCCCCTGACTTTATGGAAGTGCAATACCTGGAGTACTCCTTCAAGTCTGTGTTATGTTGGCACAGTCAGTCTTTCCTTCCTTAATTCCTTCCATCCTAGGTTTTCCTCTGCACTACTTCTTACATTTTTGTCTTTCTTTTCCTTCCTTCCTTATTTTTCCTTTCTCTCTCTCTTCCTCACCCTCCTTTGAATTCTTTTTGAACTTCTGCTATGTTATCCTTAACCAGTGGGAGGCAGAAACGTCCAGTTTGTTGCAGAAATTCCCCACCCTTTCTCCTTTCTCCTTTCCATCTCTAATGTTTCATCCTCTAAAAAGGCAGAGGCACCAACTCTTATCAGCAGACCCCCCCCCCCCCCCCCCCCCCTCTTTTACCCGCCCCCCCCCCCCCCCCAATCTCTCTGGGGGTAGCTTTCCTAAGTGCCTTCTACAGTAAATCAAACCGCAAGGCTTTCATTTAGCCAAAGCTGAGGGAGAGTGGTTACATCTGGGCTGCGTGATACAGAGAAATGCCCTATCAAGGGAGGACAGGGAGAGCAAGACAGTACAGAGAGAGAAAGAGGCAGAGAGAGACATTGTCCTGAGCTGATGTCGACTGATTACAAAAATTACGAGAGTGAATTTTAATTACTCCCATAGAGGTGAGAGGTGTGGAGCAACAGTGGGAGGGAGAGGGGCAGAGGAGATAATGGATGATGAATTGATGATCAGTCCAAACAGGGAGTGTAAATAAGAGATGGAGGACAGAGTTGTAGGTTAAGCAGAGCTAATCACTTAAAAGCCTTAACGCAGGAAGTACATAATCAGCATCCAGGCATCAGTTAATAGCAGGGAGTGAAACATGTTGTTCAGACCGGAGCAGAGATGGAGGAAAAACGTGTCTTTGGTGGCATGTGTAGCCAATTGCAAAGCTACTTAAACATAATTATGAGGGTAAGGTGCTGCTTCATGCTTTCATGGAGCAACCAAAAAAGAGAGGAGTTAAACTACACTGCACCAAACAGAGAAAGAATTCATACAGATTTATATAACAATGTATTTTTGTTTTTTTTATATGAAAAAGGTGGTTATCACTTTTAATGAGATGTGATCAGGGCTGCAACTGTTGATTAATCTGTTCATTATTCTCTCTATTTATTGATTAGTTGGTTGGGCAATAAAATGTCATAAAACTCCCTGAAGCCCGAGGTGATGTCTTATTTTGTCTGATAAATAGTGAAAAACCCAAAGATATTGAGTCATTTGAGATAGAAGACGAAGGAAATCAGAAAATATTCACATTTCAAAAGCTGAAACCAGAGAATCTTTGACATATTTTCTTATAAAATGACTTAAGAAATAGTTTCTGTTCTGTTTTTTTTTTCTATCAATCAACTAATTGATTAATTGAATAATTGTTGCAGCTGTAGATTTGATATGAAAACTTCTAGCTTCATCAGGTCATACTTTTCACTTGGGCTGTGAAATATCTCAACATACATAAAAAAAAAAAAATGATGTAGCGTCATTCAAGATTCCCAGGCACCGAATCTAACTGACTTTAGGGTTAGGCGCCATCATCAGGTAAAACATTTCAGCTTGTTTAATTCTCTGATTTACATCCAAACACCTGCAAAACTATTGACATTTCCACCACTCCCAGTCCTACTTTGTGTTCGGTGCTAATTAATGTTAACATGCCTTTCACAACATGCAAACATTTTACCCACTTGACATCCACATGTCCAGTTTCATTCTTTACTGCATTTGTACCCCTCTGTCTAATCCCACATTCCCTGTGCGGTCTACTATCTCAAATAAAGGCAGAAAAATTACAAGAAAATGTTTCATTTGCTGTATTTGTCACCCAATTCCCCATCAATCCATGTTTCTCTCTTCTGTTTTCTTGTTCAGGTCCTACAAGAGCAGCTCTGGGGTCAATAACAGAAAGACTGAGCTCTTCCTGAAGGAACATGAACATCTCAGAAAGTAAGATTTCTTTAAAACGTTATCACTTAGAAACACTGGAACAGAACTGCAGGAAATTGTTATGTTTTGTCAGAAGCGACCTTCCCCTCGTCACAACCAACGTTACTGAATGGTTCTGCTGGCATCTGGAAAGGGAGAAAATGACTAAGAGGAAAGTAAAACAGCGATTGTTATGAAAATGAGTTCAGATAAAATTCTCCACACTTGTTCAGATACTATTGGATTTATCTTGTCTGGGCTCTCTGAATTTAAATTATAAAGTTGAATTATTTAACTTTAGCAAGTGTAAGAGAGTCTGTCATAATCTCAGTATAAAGTGCAAAATTAAACGATGAGAGTAATTGCATTGTATTTAAAAGACAGCAGTTAACACACATGCCGTCTTTGTCTTACCGCTGGTGTCAGTTGTTTGTCCTGGGCCGTTGTGGTGAACTGGTTGACTTGATGAGGGAAGACTCCACTTTTATACATGTCCTGCACGTTTCTTTTTGTGCTCTTTTTTGTTGTTGCTGGGCAGATTCACATTCACATTTTTTTTTTGTTCTAAATGAAGGAATTTGTATGTACAATTACTTCTGTTGTGTGTGTAGTTTTGTAATTATCTGTGTGGCTTTGTGGTGTTTGTGTCGTGCCAGACGGTCATGATGTGTTTCACAGTCAGCCATTAGCTCTGTGGATGATTGTTAGTAACCATAACTAACTGTAGCTCAGCCTCTCAGCCACAAACTAACCAGAAGAGTTTCCCTTAAATGGATCCTTCTGTGACACAGCGTTATAAAACTCGCACTCACTGCCACCACACGTAATTGTCATTCGAACAGACACATGCAAAACTTTAAATGACACTCAAGGTGCAGCCTGTGCCTCGCTCTGTTTCCAAAAACAGCTGCACAGAAATCTGCACATTGTGTGTGCGTACTATATTTTAGAATTTTTCATTTTAACTATTTGCAAATACCGCTGTCTGTTTGTAATGTTTTTGATTTCGAACTGTTCTGCAGACACAGGATCAGCTTTATGTGCAACATGTAAACGTAAACAAGAAAGATACAAGACAGAGCAGTGAACAAAACTCCCCATGCACAGCCAATATTAACGGTCAGGTGCTGGTTGGTCGCCGGAACAACTAAAGTGAAAATCAAACCTAACCGCTGCTCACTGAGATGACCGATACATGGAGAGTGTGAGGTGGTCGATCTGTGCTGTGAGGTTGATTTGGTGTTTTCTCAGATATTCTGCACAGGTGTGATCATGTCAGTGATGCGTGCAAGATGCGTGCAAGCATTTTACTCTGTGCTTCAAAACAGGTTTTATTGATGCAGCTTGTGTCCTCATTTCCACATTATCTAAAGGGAGGGAGGATGTTTGTCCATCAGAGTGCCATTAACACATTTCCTATACTGAAACCAAGAGCTGGTATTATGGCTCTCTTCACTTCCACACAGACACAGGTTGACGCTTTGAAACGGGCGTTTATTGTTGGGGCACGTCGTGTTTTTCCGATGTATCCACGCCTTAGTCACACCGTGAGAAATATAATTTTTGAATAAACACAATATAAAAATACACGACAACATAACGTCACAAAATACCTTGTTGGGCGCTTGTCATCAGCATGTCTTTTGAAAGTCTCTTTGACCGTCTGCTTTAGCGTCATGTCAATTATTATGACTTTGAATGCTTATAGCAGATGTGAGAAATATCTGCTCACCTGCTGTCCATGAGAGAGAAACCTCACTTCTGTCAGTTCCACTAAATGTAGCAGCACGTACTCACCAGACCCGTGATGTCATTCCTCATTATATCTGAACTGTAACAAGTGAATGTACTGAACATCAAACCACATCAGATTTAAGTTTAATCTTACATCCAATATATTATTTATTTATTGCATTAATTTATAAAACCAATTATGAATCATTTATCAGTTATGCATCATGAACACAGAGTGTTTATGTAACAGCACTTACAGGTAATAAGTGGAAATTCAAAAGCATGTTTGAACACATTATTTTTAAAAGTAAATAGAGATGTTACAGCATCACTTCAATATTGGCATGTGTGTAGTTCCAGGGAACAACAGAGAAAGTTTCCTGAAAACAAGAACTAATAAATAAAAGTCAAAGGCCTGTTTGAACACATGATTTAAATAAATAAATAAATGGAGCAATGTTGCAGCATCACCTCAATACTGGCATGTCTATAGTTATAGTTGTAGTTATTATGTCAATCAACAGAAAAGTTTAAAAAAGGGAAAAAGCTTTTTAAAAAGTGAGTATTTGCTGGTTTTCTTAGTCTGCTGTGACATGAATCTGAAAACCTTTGGGGTTTAGACTTCTGGTCAGACAAAGCAATTTGAAGACTTCCCAGTGGGCTCCGGGAGGTAATGATGGGCATTTCTAACCATTTCTGATATTTCATAGACCAAACAATGAAGTAATCTACAAAGTGATTAACTGATAATGAAAATAACTGTTAGCTTCAGTTGCAGGCAGTCACTGAAATATTTAAAATCTCACGACAAAAATATATTGTTTTTCCATATTTTCAAAAATATGTTCAGGTTTATGGAGCTCATGCTGAGACACATTTCACTTCACTGAATGAACTCATTTAAAAATGAAAACGTGAGTCATGATGTGCCAACATGAGAACCTTATAAAAATAATATGTATTAATATTAAATGGAGAAATGATTGGTAAGTGATTACTTAAATGTCACTGAAGCATCTTGTAGCTTGATGATACGTCTCACTTTCTGTTGCTTATTAGCTGAAGGTCCATGATTTTCTGCATAAATGTATCTAAGTGCAGAAAGTTTAGAAAACGTCCATATGAACCTCTCAAATCTTTTCTGCAGCACAATAATCACAAGAGCTGTATTTGATATTTAAGGTATCCGTAAGGCTATTTTCTGTTGCTCTTTTCTGATCTGATCATTTTCTTGAGGATACAGGATTCAGTCTGCTCTCCTGTACTCACAAAATATAAACGCAATCACAAAAAGAAACTTGTTGTTTACCTGATTTCTTTAAGTTAAATGTAGCAATAATGTCATCTAGGCACAATTGACACAAACAGGATCAGACTACTTTGTGAGGTTTAGTGAGTGAGAAAAGTAGTCCCAAGTATAAAAGGAAAAAGCAAAAAGGACCCGGCCAGCTAATGAAGGACAGAGAGAAAAAGCAGAGGACAGCAGTAGACAGATAGTGGAAGAGGTGGACGGATAGATGGAGGAAGTATAAAGCACAGTATTGATTTTTGGTCTCCAGTGGAGTCTGCCAGGATGCACAGTGCTGCCCTGATGTGCTCTGCTCAGGCCTGGACTGAGCAGTTCATTTTTCTATCCGTCATTTACCTCCGCAGCTAATTGCAGCTGACGTAAACCTCGTTCATGTGTGTGCTTGTCCATCTACATGTCTCTTTTGCTTATGTGCACCTAAAACAGATAACACAGTGATCAGATCACCGTCATGAAAATTCATACATCTACTGCATGTGTTCAGAGCAGATTTATTGTAGAGATTATCTGGCTTCTGCTGCAGCTGGGTTCGATTTGACCCATCAGATTCTCACTTTCTCAAAAATCCTCCATTAAGCAGCACTTTCTCCGGTCTCGCAGGAATCACAGGGAAGTGCTCCTTTTATGATAATAGACCAAGAGAGCTGTGTGGTTTCATGCACAGGCTTTCCTTGTGTAGTGCCTGGAGAAATGTATACAGTTTCGAAATTATATCAAAAGCTTATTTGTTAAAAGTGGTGAATGCTGGATGATGGTTCATTAAATTATGTCACTTTTTAAAGGATTGTAGACAGTGTAAATCTTTGTATGAGACTTAATAAATGAAGTTATTTCAGGTGCTTTGAACTGACTTCTCTCTATTTTTTCCATTTCATGTTCACAGCTCAGATAGACTTATTGACAATGCAATAAGGTAAGCTTTATTGCTCTGATCTCTCCTCTCCTTCTCCCTCCTTTTCCTTTTTCAGTCACTCATTCAACACAGTAACACACACACACACACACACACACACACACACACACACACACACACACACACACACACACACACACACACACACACACAGAACATTGAGGTCTCTTCAATCAGACCAAGCTGCCTCTCTACTTTTTGGCTTCTCAACTGAAACTGTAAAACTCGCTTAATGTGTCGCTGTGATGACAGCCATATGCTTCTTTTCTTGCCACTAATCCCTCGTGGTTTCTCTGCCTCCAGTATCGCCATGGCTACCAAAGAGAACATCACATTTCAGCGTGGGATGTTGAAGTCCATCCAAACCAGGGTCACAACTTTGGCCAGTATCCTTTTATCTTTTTAATTGTTTCTTTTTTCAGTTTCTCTGTAGTACAAATAAAAAATCTCAGTTTTGCATTTACAGCACATTTGTACAGATATTGTCTCAGTTGCATCTGTGCAGGACTTCCCGCAGCACATGCTGGCACTGAGCAGGGATAACGTAACGCACTTACAGTGAAAGCTGGGCATAAGGATAGTAGACTACACCATTAGGCTCCACTAATTCTTTTTCCTAGTTGTGTTAGGAGCCATGCTGATGTATTTTCCCTGTTCTTTGTCTCTCTTAATCACTGCAAGGAAGGGAAACCTGTATTGGATCTTAATTATTTTTCCTTCACCACACTTCCCCACCCCTCAGATCGTTTCCCTGCCATCAACAGTCTCATCCAGAAAATCAATTTGCGCAAGAGGCGGGACTCTTTAATTCTAGGTGGAGTGATTGGCATCTGCACCATACTCCTGTTGCTCTACACTTTCCACTGATTCGCTGGTCAGTTGACTGACCTTTACTTTCTTTAAGAGCAAAAAATCTTCATTGTAACTCAATCCAACAGTTGCAAGACCTTTTTTTTTTTTTTTTAATGTTTTCATATGTTTCTCCTTCTATTGTAATTTACTTTGCTTAAGACAACAGTTTAAAAGGTTAAGAAATGATTTAAAGATTTATCAGATTAAAAGTAAGTCTTAATTGAAAGTGAAATTGTTTCAACTCTCAGCCTGGAGAGTTTATTTATTTTCTGAATTATAACATTTCCATCTGGGAATTGATACATTGCTGCTTATATCCTGTTGTAATTTTATCTCTTTATAAATGTATGAAGTAAAATTTTACTGGGATTGTGTACTGCTCAAGTCAGACTTTTTTTATATGGTATTGGCAGTGCCTAATAAAATAAAGGTGATGAGCACACTTTGAAGTTATCATGCTCATTCAGGTTTATTTCATACATGCAGAACTATGGCACAGTAAACCAATCATACAGTATAAATGTATAAACATCAGCATCAGAGTGCCAACAACAGTGCATACAGGGAGAAGAACCCCATTCATATCTTGCAGTATATTGTAAACATAACAAGGTGTAGAGATCCAGGCAGTTCACTAGAGTCTGTTCAGTTTATCATAGTAGCACGCGAAGCAAGATATCACACTATGACGGCAGTAGGGCATTGTTGTGATACATGTACAGTTTTAAACATGATGTAAACAGTGTATGAAAACAGCTTATACATCGTCCCACAGCCACGAACATCCTGTGCCAAACAGGAAGAAGAGTCTTAAATGCAAATGTTAAGAGAAACAGGACAGGTAGTGGCTGCATCACAGACTAGAGGTGCACTGAGTCTTCACATCAGGTACGAATCTTATTATGTGTGTTTGTTTTTTGATGAAGGTGGTGTTTGTTGTCATCTTTAGTCTTTAGGATATCCTCTTATCTAATCAAGCCGTATGATTTATTTTTAATAATCAAATTGTGGAGCTGTCTGTGTGTCAGGCAGGTGTGTACATCAGTGCACCACTAGTTTGGGATATGAGTAGCTACACTTTCTCCCAGAATATGCTGTCTGGTGATACGACACAATAACTGTGAGCAGCTTTCATCTTCCTTCCTTTCGTTCCTGAGTTTGTGGAGTAAATGGTCGTGAGAGTTGCCAGAAAAAGAGAAACAGCCTGCGACTTCTTTCATTTTTCTTTCTTTCATCCAGATGTTAGTCTCTTCAGCTTGTTTTCAACTTAGATTTTGTGCTTTTTCATCTTCAAAAATCACATCCTTCCTCCTCCTCTCTTCTGTGCAAATTTGAGATCAGATGAAGTTAAAGAAGACTGTAGTGTGACTCCTTCCACAGTTCAATGCTGGGTCTCTGAAAGTTCAGAGAAAAGAGACATTTAGTTAAACAGCTTTACACTGAGTCTCTCTCTCAAATTGAATCGAAGGCAACTGGACTTGTATTTGTCTGTGGAAGACGTTTCGCCTCTTATCCAAGCGGCTTCATCAGTTCATCATGTATTGGTCTCTCTAGTCCGCACTAGTCTGGGTCAGACTCCGCACTAGTCTGGGTCAGACTAGTGCGGACTAGAGAGACCAATACATGATGAACTGATGAAGCCGCTTGGATAAGAGGCGAAACGTCTTCCACAGACAAATACAAGTCCAGTTGCCTTCGATTCAATTTGAGAGAGAGATAACTATGACCTGGACGATTGAGAACATTCACAGACACTTTACACTGAGCTTTTTGAGTGTGTGATTGGTATGTGTCGTTTTTCTATACCTATTGTAAACACTATGAAGATGATGACAGCCACACCCAGCAGCATTGCCAGACAGCTGAGCACCATAGACAGACGCCCATATTTCCTTGCTCCTTCAATATCTCCTGTATGGAGAACAGACCTCGACTAATGGGAAAGAAACGAGAAGGAAGTGACCAACAATGAATTATTTAGATGCAACACAGAAGGAAAACACCTGTAGTGCTTGAAAACACTAATCTGACAACTGTGTTTGAATACACCCAATCATCTAAAGCACAGGCAGATGATAATAACTCTAAACTGTGTTATAATGAAGAAAATTAGAGTTGTAAATTAATGTAACACTCACCACATTTGCATACCACAAGGCACATATGTTGAGCGGCACAGCGGGGCAGAAACAGGACAGCACGGCGAGCCAGAGGTAAGTCGGTGGTACGGACCCGGGCGGCACCGGGGAGGGCAGCGGGCCCAGGCTGAGCCGGGACGAGGACTTGGGTGTGGCGGCCAGCTGCCCGACGGAGCCCGACTTAAGCGGCGACCTGTGTCCGTTCTGGTCCGCGTCCAGGGACCGGACGCTCCCTCTGATGTTGAGGGAGAAGGAGTCGGACTGCTTGATGTTGCTCTGCCCGGTAGGCTCGGTGGTCACGGTGCTCAGCAGCTTCTCCGTGTCCTGGAAGTCGGTGAGATTTGAAACTTCCCTCTCGCCGAGGGCACTTTTCCCAAAGGCAGCATCAGTGTTGATAGCCATCACTGAAAGTTAAGAAGTCTCCAAGTCTTATTATCTCTCTGACCGAGCCGCTTTCCTGTGGATGGAGATGCTTGAGAGTCTTCCTTCAGATGTTCTCCATTGGGGGTCATCAGATTCAGTATTATGAAATCAAAGATCCTAATATCGGCAAGGCAACCTATTTAATTAAGTCTAGCGCCATCAAAATGTCTTATTGATGAGCGAGACGTTATTGATGTCTGAGTCCCTCTTGCGTTTAGGCGAGTTGGTGGTGAGAGTCCGGACGCACGACTTGCCTTTTACCCCCCACCCCCCCTATTATGTAGTGAGGTATTGCCGCATCCCTTACATCTCCACGGCACATCCCAATTGTCTGAGGCCTACTTATGCACCAGGCGAGGCGTGTGACAATGCAAAAACAGCAAGTAAACCGCCTTTGAAGTGAACACGCGCGGTGCGTAAAAGCTTTCCATTTACGCGCGGAGGCAGCAGCTGTATCAGCATGGTCACTCACCGCACAGGGTGTGTGAGGGAGAGGGAGTAAGGTGGACGCTATGAACCACAAGCCTCTCAACTTACGCACGACCAGCTGACTCAGGTCCTGTTATAAAGTCCTATTCTGCCATATTGCAGCGTTTAAACAGGAGTCTCACTGTATATTTATAAAAAGAAATGGGCTTCAACCATTACCACAGTAAATTGGCTAATTGCTGTTTTGTCAATAAGTGACTGTGACTGTGTCGTTTTTAAATTAGTCAATACACAGTAAAAATGTTAAATTCCTTGTGTTATCTGTTGGGGACTTCCCACAGCGACCAAACCACATGTAAATACTCACACTCAACAACCTGGCCCAAGTATTATAACACAACAGGGTGCTCTACAACCATCATCACATTAAAATTTTACATATGAAGGAGGACGTTTTCAGATAATTTACCTAATTAAAAGTATGTAAGAAGTATTATTAGCAAAATCTAATAATAGTCTCCAAAGTAAAAGTAGACTACACATAAAACAAGAAAATGGCCACTGTGAATGCTGCAGTATTATAATGAGTAACTTTTAACTTGTAGTTGGTCAAGGTGAGGTTCATTCTAACTCCATTATACTGTAGCCTAATGTATATAACTATAACTGTGGTTGACAGACTCATTTATTGATGGGGATAATGAAGAACTCTCCTGGATGAATCAAGAAACTTGGTATAAGAGTTGTTTTCTTTTTCCTTTTTTTTCTTACTTGAACAGCATCACTCTACCCTGCTCTACTTTTAACATATGGATAAGGCAACGTTTCATTCATAGTGATTAAACTCCAATCCACTGAGAATTCAGCACATCGAAGATCAGGGTTTGAGTCATTTACTCTCGTTACTTTAAAGTTTGTTTGTTTTGCGTGTGTGCTTGAACTTTTTGGAGTAGCTTTTTCTTTTTTCGCTCTTACTTAACTGTTTTTTAGTATTAGTCAAGTATTTTTACTTAAGTAGAACAGACATTTTTTCAGACAACAAATGAAAAGAGTCAAATCAGCAGCTGCAGCAGAGAAGAAGCTGCTGATTTAATTAGTGTCCCAAATCAAACACACCTGCCATGTTGCATGACCAACAGGTGCATGCTGAGTCAGGCTAAATGCTACGTGCTAAAACTGATGTTGGATCCTTCAGCTGAGACTTCTACGTTCACTTCTACCTCCAGTGAGGTGTTCTCCACCTTTCTGCTGTTTTTGGTCATTCCTGTTGTGACTGCAGAGCTCCTTCAGCTCAGTGTTTGGGAACTCTCTGAAGTGCAGTGAGACCAGAGAGGCTGAGTGGGCTGGTCCTATTTTGCATTGTATACCATTGAGAAAGAACGAGCAGATAAGTGGGATTTGCAGCAGACTGTGGAGGACTTCACAGTGCACAAGAATCACAGTGATGTTAAGACAGGTGAGTGCAGCAAATGAATGATATGGAGAGGAGAGCATCAACAACTACTGCGTTGCCTAGCAACATAGTGTTTCGCCTGTCGCTGTAGCCGCTGTGGAGTTTATGTTGTTTATACATCCCCACATTTTCTGCTGCTTTACTCTACTGTTAATTCTATACAAATGTATTGGTTGCAGAAGGTGCAGTTCTCACCTGGGAACGGTGTAGCTTATTGAAATATCAATGCATACATGTCTGCATATGCACCTGTAGCCTAAAGATGCTGTTTAATGTAATCGTTTTATCACAGTACATTGACTAACTTTGCACTTTTATGAGTACATTTTTATTTCTACTTGAGTAAAATGTCCTGTAAGTAAAAGTACTTTTAATTGAGTATAATTTTCCAGCACTCTTTCCATCTGTCAGAGATTTAATACCATCTATATTTCCCTCCCTGTCCTGCAGTGAAACCGGCCCAGTCATGTTTTAACCTCAGTTTGCAGATGATCACGCCATCTAGTGGTGGTTTAGATTAAATACAACAAGACCCTGAAATTGTAGGTTTAATAGTGCAGCAACACTCCAGTTTTGCCTTATCTTCCCTTATTAATAGACATTGTATCCAGAATATTCCTATGAGCCCGTGTCAAAAAGTGTTTCTAGTGTCATTTAATTCATTTTTCGGATGTGATTGTTTCTGGCAGTACAAACCACCACAGCCTGTTCAGATTGGTAAAGAAAAGCTGTCAAGTGTGCTGCACATATACTCTCAAGTTAGATTTATATTGGGAGGACCACTCAAAAATGACATGCCCTGGATTTAACAAATACTCTATGAGGACTGGACTATTTTATAAAGTGACTGACGACACAAAATTGAAACAAGAACTTTCAATGTTTCCCACTCAACCAATTCAGTTTATATTAATAAAGTAATACATTAACCTGCTGCTGAAAACAAATAAACTAAAAAGCATTGTCATGAATGTTGGTCAGATGTCAACATTATTTTGCACTCAGTAAGT